AAATACACAAATTTTTACTTAGTAATTAAATTAAATTGGTATTATTTATACTTCCTATGAAATAGTTCAATATATTTAATATACAAAAATTTAAAACTAAGTTTCTTTGGATAGTGATTATTATCATAATCTAATTTTGGTAGGTAACATTAAATAATTTCTTGTATATAAATATTTATCATTAGCATTCAATCACATACATTCAACTCCAAGAATGAGCAAAATCACGTTGATGACAAACATTGAAAGCTTACTTGATCAAAGTAAATGCCTTAACAGTGATTATTGTGTAGAATGAACAAAGAAAACTCTCTTTCTTAACCTTAAATAATTCAATAATATATTGATTATCTTTGATAGATTTAAAACTCAATCACTAATCGATCTGAACTTTTGAACGGAAATTTATTTCCATAGCATACAACCATTTTTTTAAAAATTTTAATAATTTGTTGTATATACACATGTATTTGAATAGTAACCAATTCGTTGACAATTTCGACTACTTAATATTAAACTGATACCAATTCACTTCATCATTTAACTGTCCTCCATTCATTATCAATCACGATACATAATAATCATTCTCATTAATTACATCAGTTCAGTATATTTATGCCTGATAAGTGATAAAACAATTTATTCTGCTGCAGTAGTGTGTGATAAATCCACTTAATATAAATTTTATTTATTTAAACACATAAGCACTGATACAAAGAGGCACCAATTATATATGCTCCACACTTCGTCATTCGATTTGTGTAAGCGCTGAAATACTGCCCGCGCGCCCAAACCGAAGCAGATGGTTTTCTTAAGGGACCACGCCCGGAGCCTTTGACCTAAAGGTCTAATCCACAAGGCAGTGGAGCAACTTTAGCAAATGTGGCCTCATGGTAGCTAGTGACCAATAAAAGGTTCATACTCCATTTTCTCCCTCAGTATCCTGAAGCCCATGTGCACCATTGGTTTGGAATCAAGGTCTTCCTATTACCTAGATGGATCCTGCATATACACTAACCCTGTTAAAACGCCGGACATTTGCTTTTCGTCCTCTCGATTTCGTAAACACCCCCACTTCAAGAAGTCAGTGAGTAGGACTTCCATGGCAGTGGCTGTATACGCATTGCCGTGTAAGATGATTTCGTGAGGGAGAACGAACTCTCTCCACCCTCATTCGTATGTGGGCATTCGGGGGCACCCAATATAAACATGAATAATGATTCTATACAAACTTTTTGTCATCTAGTTCTTGAATCATTTTACCTTGTAATACAAATTAGTTATCTATTAATCGATCAGTATTTTATGATGCACTTATAGAGGCACAGGATATGTTTCTTATCATTGAAAGTCATACTTTGTCTCTAAAGTTCTGTAGGAAAATCACGCGGTGTAACTTTACGCATAAAGAAATCAAATATCTGTGAAATTAAACATAAAATATACTGTTGTTGAATGTTAGCCAATATATAACTTTTATGTTTTAAGACGTTTATTCCAGCTGGTTGTATATTGACTAGAAGCTGTGGTAGTTCATTACGATAAGTTACGATAAGATATGATCCACAACCTTTTATAAATACTTATTCAGTTTCAACATAAAATAGTTGACTTTATAGTGAGAAAGTAGATGTACTTACATTCTACAACCAGTGTATTGTAGAAGAAATGTTAATAATCTTATTAACTTATAAGGTTTTCTAGTCAGCGATGCGTAAACATCAGACATTGCTTTTATCGAGGCATTCAATACCATTAGTTCTTATAGTGACATTCCTTCCCCGTTTCTTTGAACACTTCAAAATGCATATAAAAGGCAGGTATGAATTTGTTCTCAAAATTGGTATAAATGAAGTTCATAGTGTTAGATGTTGCTGCTTCGAAAATAAGTAATCATAGAGAATAAAACCTTCGAAACTGTACAATCGTAAATATATATACTTAATATTTTAGGATGATAATAATTACAATAATAATGATAATAAACTTGTGTTAGACATGGTGAAAGTGAGATAGTATAAACAAAGGTATTAAAAATTTTTTAAATAGAAAAACTAATCTAATAGTTGAACTCATGAGTCAATTGAAGCTAAACCACCATGGAAAACCTGGAAGCACTGGAAGGCCGTTTCGTCCTAGTATGGGACTCCCCAGCAGTGCGTGTCTGCGATTCGAACCCAGGACATATCGGTTCCACGCGTGAACGCTTAACCTCTAGACCACTGCTTAGGAATCTCATACTAGGACGGCCCTCCAGGTTTTCCATGGTGGTCTAGTTTCAATTGACTCATGAATGCAACTATTAAATTACTAAAATCTCCACAAAACCCTCTCTTATAATAAAGTAATAGTCGTTTGATTGTTAACGGCTTAAATATTCAGTCGAAAAGAAAACATTATACATGAATTTCGCCTTTAAGGGTGACATAGCCACATATATCTTAAAGAGAAGAATATCTGATTCTCTAAAAAAAGTTCTTCGCAGCGTTATTTGCCAGCCAATCGTTGTTCATGAATAATTTTAAGGATAAATTATCTCATCTGATCAACTCAATGTGCATTTACCAATTTACCTGCTCATGTGGAGCGAGGTATATAGGTCGTTCGATGCGTACTTTATCCAAAAGAATTCAAGAACATTACCGGGCGTGGTTAAGAAGAGGAGGAAACAGCTCAATAAGAAGTTCAATAATCTAACATATTCATATTCTTCCTTCTTTAGAGCCATTTGCTTCCCCTTTCATCTTCTTAATCCTTCTACCATCATCTGGCTTACTTCTGCTTCTATGATCCTCCTGACTACATTTAATCTTTCCCTGTTTTAAAATTTTTTTTAATAACTTTGTTTATTCCATCTCACTGTCACCATGTCTAACACAAGTTTATTATCATTATTATTGTAATTACTATCACATGTATACGATTGTACAGCTTTGAAAATGAATTCGCCGAAAAGAGAACTCTTCTCTGGATCAATCTTTCTTAATTAATGTCTTAATGGGTATATTTCGTTTATTCAATAAAATTTTCGTCTAATGTTTTACACAACTTACACATTTCATATACAGGATTGCTTACTGAATCAGATCACACAACAATTAATCCCCCTATGATTATATTTGATGACAAATCTATCTGAAACTTTGTTTTCCAATTAAAAAGTCAAAACAAATTCACCTTTTCCCTAAGTTTCATTTAAAGAGCTACTACGAATCTTGGAAATTTCAGTGAAACAACTAACACACTTCGAGATACTTAATTTCGAATAAAAGACAAAATACCATCTATACGAATATATGTATTTACAAATTAACTCACGTCGATTAAGACGTAATATATATTGAAGAATCTAATGTAATGTTAAACTTTACCAAATAACATCTGAGCTTTGCAGAGAGATCTAATAATAATAACAGTATAGATCAAGTCTATAATAGCAGCTGTACGCCGTTTTCAGCAAACATTAGGTCGGTTTCAGAGAATATATAAATAACTTAAACAGATAATTAAATTAACTCATTTTGCCATTGAATAAAAACAAAGAGAGGTCCGAGATTTTATTCCCTCTAACTTCTCAATCATTACGCAAACGTCTTTCAATATATGAGACATCGGGTCACTTTTTCATGTAATCTCTTTTCGGCCTTCTATAAAATCATACATTTACTAAATAACCATGGGTATATTTTCTCCGTTGAATTCCCTTCAACTTAAACAGACTTTGAAGAAAAGTACCTAAAACATTTTGTTTTTCACTAAATCCAACTGCGGTCAATATAAGCGATCTTATTACCAAACCAATTCACATTTAGCTCGTTTGAAATCACACTGAGAAAACACGAAATAGTTCAGAGTCACAGTCTAATAATCATACCTATTCACACACGAGTACATAGTAGGACGTTTAATATAAGGTCACATCCAACCTGAATGACCTAACAGTGATATGACCAGGCTTGTTTGTAAGAAGTAAGTGGTTGATCTCACTTGTTCCTTGTTTTATTGATATTTCGTTAACCTAGGAGAGTTAGTCATCCTTTGAGGAAGCACATCATATTTAGTTATCAAATTCCGAAAAACTCATGTTTCTTCTCGTTCGAATATGCCATTTCTATTTTAGATAAACGTTCTAATTAACCATATAGATATTCCCCCTAATTATTAGGTCATGACTTTGAGCTTTTACAGTCGCTTATTTTTTATTAAAATACATAGAAGTTTATATAAAATTTCGATGATTTCACGTACAAACACTGCCTGCTAACTAGTTCAAATGGATCAACACTATAGTTGTATTGATTTAAGGACTTAATTTTCAAATATTTGAGGTACATATTCCAATATTACCTTTGCCTTCTTCGATTTATGTAATATCTCCGACTATGACACAATAACTTCGGTTTAGAATATAATGAAACAAAACAATACAATCATAAATCTTATTTGTGATAAGTATATTATTCATTTGTAAAAGATTTACGCTTCAATATGAATGAATTAGGCTACAGTATTTGCCTAAATAATTTCTCATAAAGTATAATGATGTACATGAACACTACTAGAATGACTTAAATACTTTCGGTTCTACCATACTAAATACAAGATCGCGAATGAAACAGTAATTATATCGACGGTTGGGAAATGCAATATTCAATTAGGATAAATGAAAACTGGACTTTTAAGAATAATTTTAAATTCTTCAAATTTCACACGTACATTTGAATTCTATAGGGTGCCTTTAGAAATCCTATTCTTAGTGATTGATCTTCAAGTACACCTATAGTGTCCTTATGAAAACCTCATGGATTTAACATTGTATCACCGCCGGATAGAGCTGTATCGGAATTTTTCATTTCTGGTTACCTCGCTTCGACTTATTGTGTAAATATAAAGTACACCTATTGTATTCACTTCACTAAATACTGTAGATGAATTAATATGTAGCATGATTTGAGCGAAAATTTGTTTTCAAACAGCTGTAGAGAAAATAAATCATATAATTCTGTTTCATATACATATATTCTGATATATTTACATTATGTAAAGTTTCAATATAAGCTTAATCATTAGCGTATAAATGAATAAAAATATGAAAACAGACGAAAAATCTCATGAAAAAGAAATAATACGAAAAGTTAAAACAATCATTCATTATCACAAGTATAACAGTAAGCGTCGGGAAACAAACAACATGAGAAACAATGATGAAGGAATGTATTTTAATGCTTTACTCAAAGTGGTAAGATACAAGAAAAGGATTATGTAAAATTGATAGAAAGGGTTCAAGTCAGTTTCATAATTAAATAACACAAGAGTATTACATATTTACAAAAAAAAGATGTTGAAACAACACAAACATTTCCTAGACACAAAGTTATAAATGAAGAACTATTAACAACACCTTAATTCAAGTTATTCTAAATTGATGCTATTAATACCAAGTTGGTTTAGTAGTATATGAACACATTTGAAAAATTTGTTCAGAACCAAGTATGAAAGACGAATGACTTAACAAGACAACTTTTTATCACATATTTATTCATGTTAAATAATAATTTAGAATAATGCAGTAAAGATGGCGGTCATTTCAAAAGTGGTCAGAACAATCTCTGTGGTGAATTATCGAAATTTGGTAACAATCAGTAGAACACCGAATATAATTACCAATCCAGCCAATACAAGGATAACAATCATTTTACGATCCTTCGATTGGTGACTTTGAGCTTTTGTCAAGTGCTTCAAACCCTCTTCAACTCGAATTTGAGTATGTTCCACATTATAATCGATACGATCCACTAATGTCCCCTAGAAAAATGTATCATATCATCCAAATACATTAAGTGTAACATGTTATGACGCAGCTTACACATAATTTAATATAAACTTAAGGATTGTTTTCAAAATATTTAATTTATAGATCGTATACTTTAATTAACTGCAAAAAGTTCACGCAGTTCTCGTCATACTTGGGACACGTCAGCTGGATGTACTTGGAACCTAGTTTTTGTCTTTTTCTGCTCATTTGATCAAAGTGGCAAACGTCGTTGCATTTAATGAACGCTCATTTTTATACGAGATCTATAAAAAGCATGAGAACTTACTACTCTAGTCTTGCAATGTTTAGTAATATGAAGTGATAAGTTGTAAGGTTCATACAATAATATCGTTTTACTGTACTTAGGATTAGTAACTATTTTATGACAAACTTTGGTTCGTCCGGAACTTCCTTTCTGTAGAACTACAATTTACGGACGGACCAATCATATTGAAGATGGTCGATCTTGGGATTTTTAATAAAATTTGAGACCCGATTACGAATAACTATTACCTTGTTGAAAGCTAAGTAAAGTTTTTTTAATATTTCTTAAGGTGCTAGAAACTAATAAATAAATCTGTATCATTGGCAGGAAGGATTTGGAATTATCCCTCCGTTGATAAGTTTGTTCGGATTTCAACCAGTCTTGGATTCTTCTATTAGTCACGAACCAAACTACGTAATAAACATATTTGCTGTGCAACAACATGGTGGGCATGACATGATATGGAAATCAAATTACACGAGGCTCCTGTCATGATACAGATTGTATAGGTAATGTCAGTCGCTAGTTAAAGGTACTTGATGTGACTTAGGGGATAACTAAGAATATTTATGAGGTCTCTAGTGAAGTACGACTTAACCACTGGGGGAGATTTTTTCAAAGGATACCATCTATACGGATGGTTAAAAAGCGTAAATGTTAATATTATTGGGTCACCATTGGGATTGAAACCATTCTATTACATTTTGTGAGAAATACGAATATTCTTGAAAGGTTTTCCTAACCCGAGTCGGATCATTCACCAGTGCAATAACCTTGGATTATTAATTTTCAAACTTGGAATTTCTGAAACCGAGAAACATTTTAAGCACATTAGATTGTTTAATTTACGAGAGACAATTATGATGTGTCATAAGTACAATTGATTTGATTATTATATATTTTTAGAAGGCTTTGGATAGTTTAAATTGGTTCTTAATCTTTTTAGTAAGCAGTTTAGAAAGAAACTCCAACATCAAACAGGAAATTAACTGTCAATGAACAAGCATAACACAATATAATTTCGAGAGGAAAAGTTCATACTTCTGATATAATACCATCATATTTGTAAGAATTTTTTTGTTTTACCAATTCTACAATACCTAACAAGATCTTATTTTATTTATGATGCTTTCAAATACATAGAAGAGCAAGTCAGAAAATTTCATTTCATCTAACCATATTACTTACAAGTAGTCCTTTTTTAATACCAAATTTTCTTGTTTGGATCTTATTGGTTGGCACAATTGCTAATCGTTTGATCATAATTGAACCGATTTGTTTCTTCGCTAGCCGTACTTAACGATCTTCGTATTTATCATACCGAATATAACCTAAAAATATTTTTACTGAATACATTTATATATTCTTCAAAAACAAGGCAGATATCATTCAACCTTTAATAGGTTTATTCTGATGAAAACAATACCATGATCATGTGGAAGATTGGAAGACGCTAATCATTAATCTGCTTTAGAAGTTTCTATAAGTAGTGTCACATCTCATGATGTGTTTTGCTATAAAACATCATCTAAGACTTTTGTTTGGTTGCTTTTAAACATTTTGTTCCCATTTTTTAAAACAAAAATCATAAAAACTTAACTAGTGTAAATTTAGTCTACGTGTTTTGAGTTAGATAGTAAGTTGATCCGAAAATGTTTAAAGTGCTTACTTGATCCACAACCATTTGTGCAACATCGCGAAAAATCTCATTCAATTCATGAATAGACTGAACAATCTGATGAATTTCTTGTTCACGTTGTACAACCATGTTTGTATTTTCTGTAAGTAATAAACTCCGTCTTTGTTTTTGTGATTCCCAAACCTACATTCATATTGTAACAAGTAAAAATTTCGATAAGCGCAAAAGTCACAATGGACTGGATAGCATTACAGCATGTATGATGATCTACAATTTAGATAACTAATATTAATACTCAAACACGAATAATTAGTTGATATATGATCACTTTTTAGTGATAAAACGAGCTGTAGAGATATCAAGTTCGGTTGGATATCCTGGCCAAGATATTTGCTAAATCTTTCAACTACTGATTCAGAATACCTTATGAACAGTCTAGTCTTACATACGACCATGCTTTTTTGACTACACAAAAATATTTCACATCGTATGTTTTACCCTAAACAAGTAAATGACAAGTTGTTATGAGTTAAATATCCTTTCAATATTTCAGTTGATAGTGATCTTCACTTCTCCTAATTAATTTGCATCTTCGCTTTAACTATGTGCATTTCTTGCGAGCAATTTTATGTGTCAATAGAGTTAGAAACGGCGTAAAGTCGACAGATATTAAATACTCCTGTACATTTATCATGTTTTTTTTATGAGGAAAAACACCAATGAGGTAATTCGACTGCTCAATCGAAATCAAGAAATTTAACGAAATCGGGTTTTCAGTAGCAATTAATGTTAAAAATGAATTTTATCAGAAAAAAAGTGTATTAACTTACAGCATAATCACCATCTTCAAACTCATTTACCAGGTTGTTTGATGTTGATGATGTATCTCCTATATTTAAATCTATATTTAAGTAACTACGTATTCGTTCATCTCTGGATCGAAGTTCTGGAAATAAAACAATTAAATAGTATCATATATTCGTAATATTGTGCACATAACATATTAGTAACATCTACTCATTGGGATATTACAAATATACTATTTATTTATAACAATCTACCCAATGCTCAACTTATTCGAAATTATCAAATCAAACCTTGGTAATAATACCTATAAATTACATAGTACTACTTTTTAAACTTGACAGAATTATCAACTTCTGATTGTCTGTAACTCTAATAAACCACTGAATACACTGTATAAACTACAAACTATTTACCTATAAAATGTTGAAAAAGGTTTACTCCATTGTTTAGTGTTGACTTTTAAACTACTTATTGATGCTTTGGTAACGTTAAATTTAATATTATTTATTTATTTTAATACATAGATATTGATACAAGGAGGCACCAAATACATATGCGCCACACAAATCTCATTCGATGTGTGAGGGCTGTGATACTACCCGGGTGCCCAAACCGAAGCAGGTGGTTTTCTTAGGGGGCCACTCCCCGAGCCTTCGACCTGAAGGTCTGATCCACAAGGCAATGGACCATCGTAAGGAGATGCAGTCCCATGGAAGCCGGTGACCAACAATTGGTTTATACGCCATTTGTTCCCGAAGGATACTGGAGCCCATGTGCACCATTGGTTTGGAATCCGGTTAAAGCGCCGGACATTCTCTTTTCGTCCTCTCATTTTCGTAAACAACACCCCCGCCACGAGAAGGCAGTGAGTAGGACTTCCCTGGCAGAGGCTATATACGCGTGTCCATGTGAGGGCATTTCGAGAGGGAGGGCGGACTCTCCCCACTCTCGGCCGTACCAGGGCGATAATCTTATGGTCAGGATTTTGACAGTACACTTAAGCTTTGTACTCAGCTCCACGTACTTCAATTTAAGCTCCCTGGTAGTAGTTTTATTTATTAAGTTAGTTCACATAGTTTCATACTATTGGGAGCTAAAAATAGTTTGCACACAAACTATATGGCTCAAAGCCGAGTACATAAGCTTTGATTTGGATAATCACTTATATTATTAGTAATCACAGTAAAGAATAAATACGTAAACATGAAAGATTAAGGTGATCATTCCGTCATTTGAGAGTCATATTAGGTGTGGTGATTTTACACTAGTAGCCTACTAGATTATTACTCACATTAATCAGTCGCAATTTAAAATGAGGGATATAAAAGTTGTCGTGTTCAACTATCATATCCCTTGGTAGCAGTTAGTCTTATCATTATATAACCATATAAGATAGGTTTTTTGCTATTTGATAGAAGCGTTAACAAATAATCATATTTTATTCATTCACTTACTATATATAATAATCAGTCCAAGCGTTTAGTTTATGGGCATAGATATGTTTAACGCCTACTTGAATGACTCAAACGCGAATGCAAGTTGAGAAAAAAAGCTTCATAGTTGTAGCGAATGTGAACGAGCCGAACTTAGTTGTGTGTAGGCAGATGTTCATGTGAAAAGACAGCAATGTATAAATACCATTTTTATGATAGTTCAGGTCGAAATAGATTGTATTATCCTGTTGTTGATATTTCTGAATGGAATTCAATCAGTCTTGGTTGATATATGTGCATCTTAGACGGATTGTTTTGATATAGCAAATGTGATACAAGTTAGTATCCAATTGATGGGATGTGACTAGCAGTGGGATTCAGGGACGCTGGTACATCCATCTGACGAGTCCCAAATAGGACGACACACACATCCTGGATCCCATTTCATCTGTTCTATTTATACAATAGCTCAGTTGTCCGATGAATTCTAGTATGGATTTCACAAAGGAAACTAACGTGTAGCAGACATGTGAAAACGAAAATTATTAAACCTAATTTAGTGGCGTAACGTATAATCCATGCATAACAGAAACAGCAAGTACTATGGTAGTAATACTGATAACAGTGTAAAAATTATATGAATTATCTGCTCAGATTCGCCTTACAGGACGGTGCCATCATCTTAGTATGTAATGTTTGTTGCAAGATTTCACTAGTGCTGAAGAAGGAAAAATATTACGTAGTGGTGTTTGAGCATAAGCAATAAAGACTAGTAATGGCAAGCACCCATAAAAAATTTAATCTGTTCCTCTTCGGGTAATGGTACATGTTATTACTGAATAGTTAACAGAGTTGAACTATAAGTAGCATTGACATCAATCACACTAAAACATTTGCAAAGCGACTTAGAAACGCTTTAATGATAATTATATTATTGCGCTTATATTGGTTACTAGACAGTGACTAATTAGCATGTACATCTCAGTTCTACAAGTCAGTTGCTTTTTGAACGGGTCGACGGAAACACCTCTGGTTACGACAAAATTTTGGACATCAACTCTAACATTTCAGATATTCTAAACTGACGATAACAGATCGGTATGAAACCTATATCTGAAACATTCTGCCAAACGCTAACATTATAATACACTATTTACAAGACAGGAAGGTACACAGCATAATTAAACGTAATTTTTCTTGGATTTAGGTTAAAATTCTATTCTTCGATAACTAAAAGTATGTTTTCAAAGAAATGAAGATGGAAAAAACTCCAATTACTGTTTAGATATTCTGATTGTGCCTTTCGAAATACCACTGAGAGATCTTGAAGAGTTCGCGCCAGATTACAAACAACGTTTTCTGCCAACTTGGCTTCTTGCGATTGTTGCCACATAGCGGAGGAACGTTTCAATTTGGATAACTGGCCAAGTTGGCTATGTGATAGATTAAACAACTATCAAAATAAAGAATGGGATTCGAAAGTTAAATAAAACAACCAAAGCACCAAACAAATTATATTTCTACCAACAGTATAGCTTTAGAGCCGTATTGGTTGAATAACTTCTTGCGCAGAGTTAGTCAGTCAAAAGCAACGTATAAACTTGGCACATGTATACATCCGTTTAAGATGCTCCATCTCATTAACATGAAGAGTTGATAATGTCAAAGAAAATCGTAGAGTAGTAAAGGTAGTAACATGAACGACTAACCATCGAAGATTTATAAAGAAAATATGGATCAGTAGCTTCCTTACAACCAACTCTCACGCCAGATGTCATCGTCCTTCGAGGTAGTTGGTGAATGGGAATATGTGATATATGTCCTAGCCACCTCATCAATTGATCTACCATCCCTACTATCCTCAGGATATCTAACTCAAGATTTAAAGGGTGGAAAATGAATGGAACTATTTAGCTGCGACCGCACTTATGTCATATAACCAGAAGTCTGCAACCATTGATTAAGAACACCGAGCGTTCGAACTTAAAGCTTTATTCGTCACCTTTGAAAACTTACAAAATCAGAGTGAAACAACTAAGTTGGTGTGACAACTAAAACCGGTTCATTGAAACAGATAGTCAGTTAACTGTACATACTTCTGTAACAAATTGTGAATCACCTACTCTGCAAACGACCAAAAAATTTCGCTATTCCACTCAAGGAATAAGACAGGACCTTCACGATGAAGATCAACATAAATCGGGGACAAAGCATATGACTGTAATGAAGAAAACGACTATTAAAATTATCTTTTATGAGACCAAGACCCCAACGTAGTAATTGTACTATATGAAGATATATATAAACGAAAACTGATCAGCATGTGAAATAAATTTAATCGCCAAGTACCTGAGTAAGCTCTTTAGTTTGAAACTCTATTTCCTGATCTTCATCTAAGTTGTCATCCAAATTCGAAGCCATGAGATGTCTATCATGAAGAGCAATAACTTCTTTCACTAAAAAAATTCATAAAACTTGATAAATATACACTTACTTTTTTGTCGTATCATGCTGAACGTATATTGAAGTGAATTGACTGTGGTTTGCCTACAAGTACAATCATCACTGAAAAAAACTAGAGACAGACCATTCATTACGTAACTTTTTAGTAGAGTTATTGACAGGAGCTTTATTTTTAGATTTGGATACCAATGATTCTTGATCAGACTTCTAAGGGAAAACGAAAGGTTAAAAATTATGTTACGGCTTAATGAAAGCCAAAATGATAAAGGAATCAGTGTTGATTGAAGTCAACAAACTTCCAAGCATCTTAATGACCCAACAGAGACATCCAGAAAAGCCTATTATAAAGTGAAATGCGGTCACATAATTGCTAGAAATTGTGTAGGTCACTAGTCACAAAATCACCAGCAAATTCATACAAGCCTCGATGGCTGATACAAGGTACCGAGATGAGATCAGTCAACAAACTGAAACCAAAACCTTTTGAAAAACAACCGTTTTAACCTCCCATATAATTTTTGGCTGCAAAATCTTGTCCAGTCATGGAACTTAGAAATTGTAAGGTCACGCTCCAGTAAATTAATCAGTAAGCAGTTATAGTTGAGGCCGTAACTTTATTAAATTAGCTTGCAGTTCTTGACACTGCAACACTTAATTTGGTTTAGACAAACGGAGCATAACACTGACTACCCTAGATGCATGGTTCGAAGATAAGTACATACGCTTACTTAGTGGACGTTAATCCTATCAGAGATAATTCTACACCACCTAATACATAATTCGAAATACTCTATTATCTTATTTGTCGTATGTAAACCAGGAATACTCGGCTAATTTCCAGGACATCCTCTTTTAGTATACAACCGTAGTGTTAGCGCGATTTTGTGGCTTTTGAATGTGAATGTAGTAAAGAAACGAATCAAATATATAAATCAGTTACAAACAAGCAGTTCTTATCATATTTTAGTAATCATACATCTGACTCTATTATTTAATATCTTTGTCGCGAGCTTGTATAAACCAATTGACTAATCAAAGTGGAGTAAAATAAATTTGGGATACAGACTTACATCGTCACGATAGAAACTTCTGTTTTGGAATGCATTATTTCTCATAAACGTGAAGCTTTCTGTCAGAGACCTAAACGCCATCACGTATTTATATCAAGCGGGGTTTCTCAAGGCTAGATCTAACTCTGTCATCTTAATGTTAAGGAACTCTAAGAGTAGCTATCCCATTTACGTTGGACTGTAAATATGTACTTATGTTAAAGCTTCAACATTATTTACATTGAGGCTGGCTTGACTTAAAATGATCAATGCACCAGTGATAGACCACTATAAATCATTCTTTTTCTTCACGAAAACATGCCAGTTGAAGCCTTTTTTAAAGTTTATTGTATACGGTTATAGCAAAACCTAGTGAAATTTGCCACAGTGTTGCAGTAAATGACTTACTCAAATAATTCTTCAATGTACATTGCGGGTCATCCTGATTATTCTCAAGAAGTTGTGTTAAGTATCCAAGTAAGAGTGTGTTTTATCTGAAAAGCAGGACGATTTGGGAACAGGTTATTTGCGTTTCACAAACTTATTAGCAGCTCGTGGAATTCAGACTACTCTGATATGTCAGGGACTGTTATATGATGTACTCTTCATTGACTTCAGTAAATTCTTCATAACGTTTCACATAACAGGCTGTTATGTAGGTTAAGTAATATCAGGATCAGCGTTAATCTAACTATATGGATAAGGGGTTCCCTGGTTCGTCTCCCATAAAGTGTAGATTAACTAACAGTTATCTAGCCGAAAAACTAGGAATAGTGGAGTGTCCTGTGGCACAGTTTAAGAATCAGTGTTATTCCTGTATGTAAGTTACCTTCATCATCGGTTTTTACATGCCGACAACATGTAGATATGAGGAGGTATAAGAAAACAAAGCAAATAGTTTGAATCTCTAAAACGACTTACAAAAATAACTGAATAACCTGTAATTTGATAGTTCTCCGCAACGCTTCCAGGTGCATTATGATATACTTTGATCACCGATCTAAGGATAGGTACACGGATGGTGCTGTTGGGCCACCTGTTTATAGACACATACTGATCTGGGGGTCAACGTCCCTCAAAACATGGAAACCACTGCGCACTAACGTGCGATAACCGACATACGTTCCATAACCCTCCATTCAATACATATGACCTTTAGCCGCATAGATTTTGAGAGGTGCTCGGGTTTCCATGTAGCATATATTTGTCATACTTTTTGGTGCTGGTGCAGACAACGAATCTTTGCCCGAGAAAAGAGGATGAGGAGTTTGAACGCGTTCAGAAAACCTCAAGTGAGTTGATTTTCTGGACCGCGAAGCCACAGTATAGCTACATACTAGCTAAAATAAACGTATTTCACCTGTTAAGTAAAAAGAGTAGAGGTTGTCATGATACATTTGCATCAAATATGATCTTACTTTTCTTGCCTCTCACAGAATGAAAGTTACGAGGTTGCTCTAAAAATGTTCACAATTCCAGAGTTAATCACTAACCAGCTGATTGCCGACTTTCATGTAAAATTATCGATGGATGATGCTGCTTGCGTCACTACACGACTGAAGCTCCACCAGTCGAAATATTGAAAAAGTCTTTCTCGAAATAAGATTGAAATTTAAGTTATGAGATTTATTATTCGTTTCAATTATGTAGACCACGAACGTTTGAGGCAAAACCGTTCGCTTTAGATGCCAGTCAGAGGTAAAATCTGGCATTCGATATGAGTAATTTAGTTTCGTATGACAATGTGTTGCAGAAAGCATACCAGTTTACAGGTAGATTAAAAATCTTGCAAACATTACAGGGTTTACTATTATAAGTCATTCAGTTGGATTTATACGTAAAAGAGGGTTACATTTAAGTACATGAGAATATGAATGGTGTTATGATCAATCATAACAAATAACAGGTACAAGCCGCTCTTTTAAGTATGACCAATAATTTAGAACACGGACTTTAAGATATTAACTAGGTTAGGAAAGTAAGTGGATAGGGAGACTGAAATTTTTTCACAGAATCTTCATGCAGACAAATCAAAAAGTTAACAAATACGTTTTTGTGTTGGCACTGTACTATGGATTTACAATCGTTATAACTCGTTTACCATTGGCACGTCGCGCATAATCTTGAAGAATGACCATCTCTCCGGAATTTCACTTTTGATTGGTACATTTGTAGCCCTGAAAAGAAGCGAAGAACAACATGCAGGAGAACTAGCAACAAGATAAGTTTGACAAACCAAGTATCTTTCTATTTTTTTAATCAAGAGGGGTCAAGACATGTCTTTCATCTGGCAGAACACAAATGGATCAATAAGGAAACTTTAGACGGACCATATGAACTAAACACATTGTGCGAAGAATTGTAACGGGGAAACAGGCGCTAGTTGATAGAAGGTTGAAGAGCGAATTGAGTTAAACGATTGTTGACCCTGAAAAGCCATTAGTAACGTATGGTTTCGTCACAATAGCCTCTATTTATTTTTATTGTTGTTACTGAATGCCGGTTTCTGTTCTATGCTTAAGCGTCTCAAATTGCCTGTTATTGGACTTGGAAAAATAGCAAGAAGAGTGTAATATAGAAAACTCGAGTCTAAGGGGCAGCAAACGTCAGCGAACAACCTCAATATAACTTAATGGATGGCGCATATCGATCATTAGGAGCCAAACACAACAAAAATATTCTGCCCCACAAACAAGTGCCGGTTGAATTCATCGCCCACACCATCAATGTTTGCTAGTCAGCAAATCCATTATAACGACCGAAATACCAATATTCTGCTTAAATACAGAGCTGGCGAGCCTAAGGTTAAACCGACCAGATCCGACAACGTCCTTCTGTATAGTATATGAGGTGTTTTCGACGACTCCTATTAAATTAAATCGAGACACAAACTCTGTTTACATTTAAACTTCTCTTAATTAAAACAATAATAGGCCGTATCACAAATACAAAGTGCCTCAAACGGTACAGCCAGTGTTATGCAGTCAAGGGTTTTTTAACACTAGATAACATGTTGACAACAAAGGGAATAAGTAATAAACAAAAGTTCGATGCCCGAAAACCAGTAGAAATATTCTCAACAAGATGTGATTAGACGTCTATTTACAAGGATTCCGGCAACCTTTCCAAACAGACAGTCTGAGGATAATAGTCATACACTGAACCATTCTGTGACCTTGGGTTTGGCCAAACATGACCTTGCTGTCAATAGCCCAGTAACATGCAACAGGAGGACTAGGTAACTAAAGATACGTCTTTAACGAGAGCCACATGACAAAGGCTCAGGCGAAAAAGACAGAGAAACCCAAAATGTGGCTAAAAGAGAGCTGAATGAAGGTTAAAATACACTGCAGGGAGAAGATGCGAATAAATGACAATACTGTCCAATATAATGCTCTAAGGGGAATTTCAGTGTGTTCTTTCCGTTGCAACCACCCTCTCTTCGCCTTTTGGATAATAAGCATTTTAAAGTTGTTTGCTAGATAACGGTTATGTCTTATTTCCACGGTTTATGTTCTACTCATTGTTAGGGAAAAATAATTCCTTAGTTACCTTGAGCAGGCATATCGGACAATCAATGCTGGTAGACAGTTAGTGTAGCATCGAAACAATGTTCCCTAGTAGCACAGGATAGAATATGGGATTCCGAACATAATAAGGTGGTGTCAACAAACGAGTAGAAGGAAGAGTGATGGAATCCAATAATTTTGAGTCAATGAGTAAGTATCTGTAAGAAAGTAGTTGAACAGTAAGATATATAGTTAAAATTGTAAATATAGTAAACTCTTCAGGGTCCACCAAAAAAGCCACTTGAATATTATTGTCTAAGGAGATTTAATATTAAAGCTATTTGTTTCGTTTGTTCGTAACGGATGTTTTCCTTCTGACACGTAATCTTCCATCCTGGTTAAGTCTGGTGGTGTTAAACTCTATAACATGAAATCACCTATTTCATCCTTGTTATGAAGAGGTAGGAAAGAATAGTGAACAGAAGTGGCATGCTAATTAGCATTATTATTGCCCAGGTTTTTACCATTAAATGCATTTATTGTCGTGCTTATGCTATTGGCGTTTGCAATTGTTGTGAAAGAGTTTCTTTCCTGGGCAGCTTCTCAATCGCTTTTAGTTCATGGGGACGGTAAACAGGTTCGTTAAAATGCAACAGCTAGTTTTCCTAGATTATGTATTACGCTAGAGATGTAGAAACTTCCTCCGACAAATCTTGAGTATTCTTCGCATTATGATCATAATAATTTATAGACATCCTACTCTGCTTCACAAGTAATTGCCAATGTGTTTTTCGAAAACATCCTGAAATTTTTATCTTACGGCTCTTTCAATACAAAAGGCAGTTTAATCCAGAATCTTGAAGTCCGTTAAGTGTTCGTTGAAAGTCGTTTCAATCACTGGGGCAAACTAGAAGCCTACGAAAACTTTTGTACCAACCTGAAACAAAAAAAGTTATAAACTAGTTACCAAGATGCGTGATTCTTCCTACTGAGTAGGTTTTCTCATTATATGGGCATCTGGAGGGAACGCAGCTCACTCCTCTGGAAAATGATAACTGAAAACCTTGAGAAAGAAAAAACTTGCTTAGGCTAGTTTGTTAAAACCATGGAAAATAAGATATCATAGTGCAATTTTAAATAAACACCATGAACTGTAATCTTAGATATCAACTAAAAATTTGACTAGATACACCTGCATAGTATGTGTTTATGGTTTGTTTGTAAAATCTACAGTACCAAATCTATTGGTCTTAAGTATGAGAAAAATGGGATTTCCTGGCCTATAAAACCGTTAAGAATCTTACCAAATCCGAAGAATTGAAAGTTTCTTTCATTAGATGAGAAGCATGATGGAAGTTCCATTCGTGCACAATCTAGTGCATTGTCCTTAGGTTTATGGAATTCCGCGATCGGTAATGACTTTGGACATACAGTTTACAAAGTGCCCGTGAAATTAAGAAATGATTGTGACAACGCTTCATTCTACTCTGAATGTATTATATCTTACACGCGTAAAACCAGATGGTTCAAATGTATTATTCGAATTTTCTGTTTTTTGAAAGAACGCGGGTGAATGAACGCCTTGCTAATTAAAACACCTTGTTCCAAATACCGGTCAGCCGTTTGCAC